AGGTTGGCACACACTGTTGCTGGTATGTTGGCCCATTCCTCCATGCAGATCTCCTCTAGAGATGATTTTTTGGGGGCTGTCGCTGGGCAACACGGACTTTCAACTCCCTCCAAAGTGATCTCAGTTCATGTTCACAAACAGTGCCCTCAGCAACTAGCCCATCGATACAATAATCTAAGCCCAAAAACAAAAGTTCTAAGTGCTCTACAAATAAAGAGTTAATTCAGGACTGTAGCCAAATCCATAGACATCAGCTTGCCACTTACCTAAAAGTGTCACAGACTGACATCACAGCTATGGCAGGTTGCAAAAATAAGGATTTGGTGAGGGGTTCCAAATGTTTATAAGTGGGATCTTTAAACCGTGGTGCATCCTCAATAAGTACTATCAGTATTTTGTTAAGGCAGGATATCGCCAGAGCCACAGCTGGAACAGCACACTTCATACAGGCGACCCCCATAGTAGCAGTGGTTACATTTATCTGCCCATTACCCGCAAAGTTCTTGTTCTGAGAATTGTTACATTATAGTAACCAAGATCAAATGTATTTTTTCCCTATGATCCTTAGTGCCATCTAGTGGCCAGAAAGCAACATTTTCCCAATTCATCACTGCGCATATTTGGTGAAATATTCGATCAGAAGAGAAAATGGCCTTAAAAAACGTTTTACCCCATTCTCACAACAGCTGGTTAATTCCCACAGAACAAATGTACACGCAGTTTTGCTAGACAAATAAACCCAGCTATATCCCACCTTCAAAAACATTAACGATTAATGTAGCACACACCATAATCCAGAATCCATGAACCCATCGCACTCCTAACCGATTAGCTCCAAAAGTGATCGAATGAGTGCAGCGGTAGTGGACGGATGGCAACCGTCGTATAAAGGTGCCCATACACCTTACAATTGTCTGCAGATTCTGTGGTCAGATGGAAAAAGTGCAACAGATTGACCCAGGTGGAGATTACTCCATCCACAAAGTTAAGTGTAGATGGAGGAATCTGTTGCACCTTTTCCATCTGACCACAGAAAATCTGCAGATAATTGTAAGTTGTATGGCCAGCTTAACAGTAGAGACCGGGACACCGGCACTCGAATATAAACGTGAAAGTCTTATTTATTGCAGAGATGCAACATATCACATACATGCATCGTTGTGATATGTTGCATCTCTGCAATAAAGACTTTCACGTTTATATTGGAGTGCCAGTGTCCCTGTCTCTACTAAATCATAATCCAGACCCTCAAAACTTCTAAGTTGAAAGAGAAAAAAAAAAAAAAAAAGACGGCTGGGATTGAAAATTTACAC